ATATCTATCTCAGTTGCTTCTAGAAATTCTTTATTAGTAACTTTGTTTCCTCTTTTAAGAGGGTTTGACACATGATTCATATAACAACGGTTACAAAGCATCATACATTCACTCCACCCTTCTCTTACCAAACCTTTACTTTGGATTTTCTTCCATGTTTCGTCTTTTAACTGACGAAACTTTGATGGGCCAGACTCCTTACATTCGAAGCATTTCTTAGCATTTTCCATTTTGAATATAACGTTAACGCGGTGGGATTCAGAGGGATTCAGCAGATATTGTGTTCTATGATATGAAGGCTTCAAGTTTACTTAATAATGTATCGGCACTTAGCTTATAACGCAAGTGAGTAATACAAGATGTCCGAAGTACTTTAAAAGTATATAAAAAAATTTTCATGTATTGTGTAACGTTAAACGACGATCTACATATGGGGCACTGTCCCTGCTGTTAGTTATAATTTGGAATTTGGGATTTGGGATGAGTTTGAGATTTGGGATAGGTTTGGGATTTGGGATTTGGCCAGAGTTTGGGATTTTGTCAACCCAAATAGGGTTTGTCCAGTTTGGGATTTGGGATTTTTCCACATGGGATTTGGGTTTGAGTGGGATTTTAAAGATTTGTAGTTTGTGCGGCATGTATAGGCTCACCCAAAGCGGATGTTGTTTAGTGAATCGATAAAGCGTATGTTATTTGAACAACCTACCCCTAGTAGGGAGGTAAAATTTTTTGTATCGATAAACACTTCTTGAGACATCCCAAACAATGAGATACACCTCTCTACGTGGTAGTTGGGACAAGTAAGAGATTTTCTCTGAAACCAAGTATCTCTATATATTTGGGCTGTCATCAATAGAAATAAGGTAGATTGACATTTTAAAAAGAATCTATACTTTAACTTACATGGTTCATATCTCGAAATTATCTTGATTTAATATTCAAAAGAAAGTTTAGATCGTAAGCTTTCTTTTGACTATTATATCATTAAGATTACCTTAAGAGATGATATGCCTTATTTCTATTGACGGCAGCCTATTTAATATTTTTGTATAGTACTGTATTTAATGATTTAACGAAAAATAAAGTTTATTAATAAATGCGTATATAGCACTGTTTTAATTATCAAATAATGTTGGGTAAAACCTAAGAGTTTCGAGCTGGCGAAAGTCGAGCCCCTAGTTATGTATACTGTAATTAATCAATCATAACTGATCACGTAACAAAAAAAGTTACATCTTTTTCTTTTTTTTTCACATTAACGTTAACGATAAAGGAAAAAAAAAATTTTGATCAGATCTAAGAATAGATCTCACCTTTTTCTACTAAACAGCGCCCAACATACAATAAGTTTAAATACATATATGTATTATTATTATTATTATTATTATTATTTTGTCATTATATACAAAATTTAGAACTTTATACCAATTTTCTAACTCTTAGCAACATATAGGTGCTGAAAGTATTCTAGTTGATCCTGAGAACAGTTTAATAAGTTATTAGAAAGATTATAGATACATAACGATAAAATAAACAACAATTAAAAAAATTTTCTGTTATAAATACAGTACTTGTATGTAAATTTCTATTCAGACAAAAATATTACTGTACACTCTTTCCTATATTCTAAATTATCATATAACAGCATATTCCGTCAATAAATTGTACTTCGGCAAAAAATAATAATACAAAATGTAGCAAAAATATTACTAGTTATGCTCTAGACAAATGATTAGGAGCATTATGAAATAAACTTTTCCACATATAGGCCTCCGATAATAAAAGTTCAATATCTTCGTAGCCCCAATTAGAAGTTGGTAATGATTGTAGGAATATCATAATTCCCTATATTGAATTAGCCAAATTAACAAACTTATAGTATATTTTGGTTATTTTCTGAATGGAATATATAATGGAAAATAGAGGTTACCTGGAAGTCCATTGACTTTAGTTTATCAGACCATTTAACCAAAAACGCCGCACATACATATAGATGGAATTCTGAGAAACCATCAGAATCTTCGGCCTTTATGCATTGTGTTAATATTGTTTATGTTTAGCAAGTTAGAAGTTAAATATTATTATATCAATACACATATGTATCTAATGACAAAGTCCATACCAAATAAGTATCCCACATTCGAATAGTATTCTTGAGAGACATCTCCCGCATTAGCAAACAATTCATCCACCGGAAGGCAAACTGAATGAATTCTAAGCCTTCCTCCCGGAGATGTGTTGCTAATGGCTCTGTAGGTATTTCATGAATATAGCAAATACAAGTCATGCATCTATATTATATATTTGACACATGCGTCATTAAATAGTCTATAAATACCGTCTATTCGATTTATCAAATCTTTTAATGTACTTATTTGTCTTTGTATCCCTGGTTGGGCAAACGTATAATTATCCTAAATAATACGATGTATAACAAAACTGTATGGTTAGAAAAAATATTTTAGGTATAATATTCAGACCACCGTATAAAGATCATGAGATAATATCTTGAATCCTATGCGTTACATGCGAAAACTAAGTTTCGCTAATATTCAAAAGCCCCAAGATATTATTATCCAGTGTTGTTATTTGAACTATGTCCACATTTTTAAGAGGTTTGGAAATTGAGAATTACTATGACCACATTTTATATTCAATTAGTCCAAATTACAACACTGCTATTATCGCTAAAATTCAATAAGAATCTTACATACTTGAATGCCATCGAGTAATTTAGATAAACACCAAAAGCTATCTGCCTCAATAACAGTTAACACTTCTTTTGGAAGTAAGCTTGGATCATATGTTTCTGGATCTCCGTCTAAAACAAGATTCATTCAGTAAGATAATAAAGCAGAATTCTTCTTGTAATCATAAAAAACAAAAGTTGCACACAACCTATGTAAGCAGACAAGAATACTGTGAAAAATGGCGTAACAATGTCATTGATTCCTTGAACATACCCACTAGCGGGATGTCTAATCGCCCAAACATATAGAATACGTTCCAGAGACTAGGATGTTAAAGTTCATTAGTTAAGTTCATTCAAGAATTTACCAGTGTTAACTAACCTGTTGTGTTGTCTCATATTGGTAAAGTGCAATACCAGGGTTTGTTCGGGGAACATCGATATGAATCTGTAATACAAACAAAGGCACATAATTAAAGAAAAAAAAATACACATTATAAATAGATTTCATTTGATTTCCAACCTGATGCCATATGGTTTGATCTAGCCCGGCAACTCCCCTTGCATAAGCTTGGGAGACGCTATCTTCATATTCTTTACGCTTACGTGCCAATGTAGCTACACGACGATCAGAATTACATGGAAGATAACCCTATGGCGGAAGGTCCATATCATAAATTATTTTCTGACTAAATATTTCGAATGACATAAAATATAGATCAATCACTTACAAGAAGCAATTGCCATGCCATAGGTCTCAGTTCATCTGGTATACCTTTCCAACTAAGTTGTCTGAGTGCAGCTAAGTCAATTAAGTTCATATAATTAGAATTATTATTACAAGAATAATTGTACTTGCAGTAAATGATATAGAAATTTCATTAACATACTTAAATCAACATTAGGACTTTGTAAAACGTCTTTAAATTTATTAATACGTGAATTTCGATTAGCATCGGAGACAGATGATTTCAACGAATTTATCGAGTTCATGGGATCTACAAGACAATCATTCGAGAATGTTAATATGTATAGATCAATTAATAGAAATTTAATTTATATACAGTACCTTGGACTAGTCCAGCAATTTCAGCCTTTATGCCGATACTTTTCTCAACTGAAATCGACTGAACACTAAATAGTTCAGGTACTTCTTTTTTTTTCTGTTGAGAACTTTTTTGCTGACTTTGAATTTTCAATTTATCACTCGACAAATCTTCACTATCTAATTTATCGTTCCAATCATCATTTGTATCCGTCATAAAGGTTGAGAAATTGACAGATGGGTTTGAAGAAGGATCTTTATGATGCAAATCTCGAGTCGCTTGATTAGAAGAATGTGTCTGCGTATTCCTTTGTAAATTAATTTCAATAAGAAAGATAATCACTAGAATTGATAAATAAATATATGATAATATATTTTTGCTTTTTTTTTTTTTCTTCTTTCTTTTGCTTACCCTATGACTTCAACAGCATTGGCAGCTGACATTTCTCCATAAGAGTATTGAGCCCCGATCACTAGCTTCGTTGCCCCTGTTTTTGACTCCACAGGCTTGACACTGGAAGTATAATATAGATTAGTAAATATTATTTAAAAAAAATTTTTTTCTAATGATTAATGAATTTTGCCTACCCTCCTGGCAAAGTGGACGTATGTCGTCGCCAAAAACCTCTAAATTGATATATGAAATTTAATTTTAAAATTTAAGTGGATCTAAAGATTAATGCTAAATGTTGAAAATACTACTTTTTAGAAGTATCAGTAAGAGCGAAGTTGACATCAGCCATTATCCAACGGTTCTCTATTCAGTAGTAAGCTCGAAGTAAAACAGAGAAGCCACCAAGAGGTAAATAGAACAGTATTAATAGTTTTCGCTAAGTTACGAATGCCAATTCGTTTTTTATTTTTTACGTTACGAAAATTATTTTCTTTTGATACAGAGTGTAAAATTTAAATGGCCGCAGAACTCGCATATTTACTATTTGGTGTGTTGGCATTCGGAGAAAATCCCGGAAATTACAAAGTTTACAATTGGGTTTGTTTGTTTATCTTTAGATCAATCGTGAAATACCAAATTTGAGAAAATAAAAATAAAAATAAAAAGGCCGTTGGATTTTTTTATTAAAACTCTGTTGGCAATTGAACAAATATGTTTTGGACAGGTTTGGACAGTTTTGAACAGCTTTTCAAACTGTCTTTGTTGTATAGGTGTTTTGGCGGCGACTATAAAAGCTTCACTTTTGGGCAGAGTTGACAATGGAGCCAATAGGAGTTCTCAATGGAGCCAAATAGATACTTGTCCATTTACCCTTCAGATTTTCCGATCGGAAAAACTAAGACCATAATACAAATTATTTTTTATTAAATATAAACTAGCCGTAGCATGGGGGACTTTCTCATTTTTTCGGAAAACACGGGGATTGTTATAAGGTAGTTAACCAATAAAAAGTTGGCTTTTAACACGTGATATCATTTTTGTCAAAACAGATAGATAATCGTTAAACATTATTCATATATTATAATTTTCTTCGAAGCAAAATAACCCACATTGTACTATTAATTTACGCACTAAAGGCAATTCTACAGTTGTAAAAACTTTATTTAAAAGATTTGGTAGCAAGTTACACATTTTTCTTAAAACTTCACATAATTAATAAAACTATACTATTGTATATACTGTATTAAATAACTTCTATTGCATTAAATATCTTTTAAAAAGTATTATAACTTTAAGAAGAGTCTACAAAATTTGAAATAAAAACTAACTAAAAATAAAAATAACAATGTTGAACTTTATGAATTGAGCAGTACAATATATTTTTAGTACCGCAAAACTCTGAAAATAAGCACCATTTTTTAATTAATAAAGGTACTTATTCCCCGTTTACTAATTGGTTTTAAAAGGGATTTATGTATTATTTTTGCAAAATTTAATTTTAAACTCAAAATTGAGTCTTGCAAAAATAACACGTAAATCTTCTTTAAAAACAATTAGTAAACCGGGAGAATAATTTATTTATTCTCCATTATGAAAAAATAATTGAACATTATTTCCCCAGATTTTTTTTCTTCGGCTCCTATCAGAGCCAAAAAAATCTGGGAAAATAATTCATTATTCCCACTATGCCAGGGAATAAATAGTATTTATTCACTAGTTATTTGAAAACAGATAACATGATTGATCAATCTTATGATCACCGGATAACGCAATTTCAAAGTTTATTTGACGGTGCTTATTTATAAAACATACAGTAAATTTTTGTTATAATGGTACTTATTTACCATATGTGTTTATTTTCTGAGTTTTACGATACTTTTTAACTAAATAACAGTTTTATAAGACTGTTATTTATCTCTTCTCAACAATCACTTATACCAAAATTTCTTACCAAAGAAAACTACAATTTTTGTTAGAGAGTCATGGTCTATATAGTGGTTTGTCTAGAGGTTAACATTTTCTTTTTGCAAGACTTCTTTAAAAGACATTCGGTATGCAAACCAAGAGCGTTATTATACAAGATAACTGGCAGGCAGCACTCTTGTATAAAAAATCTTGGTGGAAAGACAAAGTCTTTTTCATCAACGAAGCTTTTAAACTGTTAACAATAACACAGGGAAAACAACAAATATTTGTGGACTTTAACACACTTCTTTAAAATTTTAAAGTACCTAATTTCGCAAATCACCTTTTATATTTCTGCTAAGTTTTTTGGTATTTCTTTTAAATTTTTTTTTAAAATATGGGAAATTTAGCATACCCCCTACAAAGGATCAACATTGTTTATGTAGCCAAATCAGGAATAGCTAAATCATGAGAAAGTTACATCTGAACAACAATAAATGACACGTGATAGGTTTGTAGAGTAAACAAGAAAAATTTTGTATTCCCTATATAAATGAACTATTTTAATACCAAAGTAAAGCGAAAGTGAAGATTGTTTTATGAAGTATTAAATAATTTTTTAAGCTCTGCACTGGCACAATTAGTGTTGTTATGTTTATGTTTTTTCTTTGCCCTTTTCTTTTTTATATTTTTTTTTTTCTTTCATTTTTTATATTTGGTTTTTGTTTAGGTTTTGTAGTATTTCCCTTTTTTTTTACTATCCTTTTTTTTAGATTAGTTTTTTTTTTAGTTACTTGTCATTCTTTAGACAAGGATTATGGAATCCTCTTGCTCCGATATTTAGAAGAGGAGGGATTTAGAGAAATTAGCAGTCATGACAGGCTGTAAAACCATTTGTAGATTTACTTATCTACTTCAATAGCAGAATGGATAAGTAATGAGATAAACTCTACTATAGCAGGTTAAACATAGATACATATTTGATACAACTGGGTTAGCTAACACTTGTAATTTAGGTAGTTGGGCGCAATATGTTTGATAAAATTGATAAACTCATGTAGTTTGTTTATTATAATCTAATAAAGTGGAGGCATGATTGCTAAAAGTTAAAAAAATAAGACTGTTATCTAGTTGTATTATAGTGTTATCTAGTTAGAACAATAGTCTAAAATATTAAATTAAATTATACTAGTTGAAAACCCATACAATAATGCACAGGAACAAATTTAATAAAATTTAAAATATTACTGATAGTAATTATTATTAAAATATTTATATTTTAAAAAGAGAATATTTTTTTAGCACTATAGCATTATAGCCAATTAAAATTTAAGATCAGGTATAATATAAAAAATAGCTTTGTGTAACAAAATAAAAGATTTTTTAAAAAATTGATTATAGCTCAAAATTCTATCTATAAACCCACCTTTTGAGTTCTAACAAAAAAATTTTTTTATAAAATTTTACTATAAACCTTATCTAACCCTAACTTCTAGTCTTTACCTTTACTCTAATATCAAAAAAGAATTAAATTTTGTTTGTTTTGATTTATATGTTATACTAATATTTAATATACAATAGTACTATAGTACTATAGAGCTATGAAAGTATTTTTTTTAAAAATATATTAAATAAATAGAATTGGATATTCTAAATAAAAATATTTAGAATTTTTAAAACTTTATAAAAATTAAAATTAGAAATTTATATTTTATTTATACAGTATTATATTATACATAAACAAAAAAAAATTCTAAAATGTACTCTAACTTTAAAATACTAGAATAAAGATATTTACTACTAGTTATTTGTAGTAAAACTCAAAACTTAAATATAATTTAAATATATAAAATTATATAATATATTTTACTATTATATATATATATTTTATCTACATATTTTATTTTAAAAATTTAATATTTATATATAATAAAGCTTTTACTAAAATATATCTATAGTAATTTTTATATCTATATTTATAATATTTTAAAAACTGGATAATTAATTGGTGCAAGATATGCTAAATAAAAATACTCTGCTCTAAAATTTTAATTTTTATTTTAAATACTAACATTATTATAAAATTTTAGTTAAAAATTTTTTATATTCAAAACTTAAAAAAATTTAAAAACATAATAAAACATATATATTAGCAAAATATATAAATATAATCTTATATAAGTTATTATGGACCGAAATCTTGCGCAAGAATTTGCAACGACACGAAATCTTACGCAATTATCAATTATGGAATATTACGAAATACATACATAAAAAATTACACAATATTAAATTGCAATAATTTGCAACAAATCACAACTATGCACTATAAACTGACATAAGCAGTAATATAAATAACGAAACTTTAATTATAAGAAGACGGAAATATTGCACTGTTTCGATTTAAATCAAATATAATAGAATTAAATCTGAATAATTTGAAATAATTTAATAAAAATGTATTATATAAATATATTTGAAAAGTATTAGTTTATAATTTATTCGCAATATTTCGAATTAATTCAAAAATACTAAATTTATTTTACTATAAAATATTTTTTTTTTATTTTTTTTTTTCTGGTATTAAGGTGACCTCTTTGGCCAGGGAACGTTTTATTAGATAGTTATATTTTTCAATTACAGTAAGAGTACATATAGCCACACATGCACCTTTTGAGTGCCTAATTTAAGTAGTCCGCCCGAAGGTTCTACACTATCTGC